TGAAGGCTGAGGTGTGACGTCATTTTATGGGGGGTCTGGCTTTTTGTGACAACGTGTGACGGAGGGGTGGGGGAGGTAAAAAACGTCAAATAAAGCGTGACGTCATTTATGGATGACCCCCCCCCCCCCATCCCATGCTGGACTGTTGGGTTATGTTCCTAATATATCGCCTGTGTGCAGAAACGTTGCAGATTTTTAGTACTACAAAAGTGCGTAGATGTGCAGTTAGTATTTTAATGTGGAGTTAGTGTTCAAAAGTAGAGTCAGTGTTTAAATGTGAAGTCAAGTGTTAAATGTTCAGTGTTTAAATGTGGAGTCAAGTGTTAAATGTTCAGTGTTTAAATGTGAAGTCAAGTGTTAAATGTTCAGTGTTTAAATGTGGAGTCAAGTGTTAAATATTCAGTGTTTAAATGTGGAGTCGGGGTTTAATGTGGAGTCAGGGTTTAAATGTTGTTAGTATTATTTTGATTCATGACCTTTAAATTACATGAAAGATTAGTACCACATCCATCAAAGGGAAGCAACCGAATAAAAACATATGGTCCAATAACATTTAGCCGGTTAAGGGTCTTTAAAATTTATTTCTCATATGAATCGTAAACAAAAAGTGTGTGGAGGAGAATTCGCATAGTTTTTATAGAAAGTTCACTATTTTGTGTTTCAAAATTTAAATTCTGTTTTTAATAAATAAATTAGATCATTATCTATACTTTAATCAACCCTATCAACTTTAATCAACCCTATCAACTTATAATCAACCCTATCAACTTTTAATCAACCCTATCAACTTTTAATCAACCCTATCAACTTTTAATCAACCTTATCAACTTTTAATCAACCCTATCATTAGCATCTCGGGAGACGGCGGGGTGGGGCGGGAGACCGTGTGATTTGCTAACTCTTACGTCCCGAGTGTCGGGAGCAGGGCAGATGAGGCTCATTAGCTGGGGACATCAACTTTTTTTGGGAAAGAAAACAAGAAAATCAAACAGCTGCCCTGTAGTTTGTTCTTGTGTTGACAAATCTAAACAGAGAATTAGGCTGGACTCGGACTCCAAGGGTTAAACGAGTTTCTACACCCCCCCCCCTCCCACGCCCGAACGAAATAAAATTTATATATGAAATGTATACTTTTACCAGTGTCCGCCCCCTCCCCCAGATATTTTAGTGACCTTCTCCCCCCGGGAGTCACAAAGAAAAAAAGTCTGGAAGAAATACTGCATACACGATGACGAGTTTTACTGACTATATTCGCTGTGTCTTTTCAAGCTATATTTTACTTGAAGGCACTTGGGGACAGTTGTAATTTTTTTAAAATTTATCTTTAATTTTCTTCATTCGAATGCACTGAACATTTAACAATTACAAATTAATACAGCATTCCAGTTTTCCGTAACTCGACAAAACTCTTCTCTATTCTAGGCCTCGCCTCACCCAGAGATGAATCGTTATCAAAAACCAAAAATGTTTTGACCAGGTAAAATTCTCCTGGTTCATCGTCTGCTATTTTTAGAAAGTTCGCATATATAGTCAGAGGCGAAAATTTGTCGAGTAAAGGTAGGGTGCTAAATTTAGGGAAAAAGAAAAACCGCACTAGATTCATAATTTTAGGTGTGACTATCGGGTGCCCTCGCGAATCAGGGTATGATGGTCAGGTTCAAACTTTTTAGGTCCGGGTACTCGACGGTGAGAAAATGGAAATGGATTGACCAAATATAGTATGCACGTTAAATAAAAGCTTGTAAAATACACAACTATTAAAAGAAAAATCGTAATGTTTGTACTTTGTCCAAAACTGAGACATAAATTAAAATTAGGAAATGAATTCCAGAAGTTTCCAAATGTATTCAGAATTTTAAAATCAATATAAAGACGTACATTTCATATTGACTGATCTCGATTTTCCCTTTAATAAGTTGTTTCAAGGTGTTTCAAAAAATATTTAAGTTTTTTTGCAATTAAAACATTAAAATCCAAACACTTGAGAAATCGATATGTTAATTAAGACGGCCAACTTGGGGTTTTGGTTTACAGAAAAAAATGCTTTTAAAAATATTGTTGCAAGATTTTTATCATCATCACCTTTTTCCGTCGATACCCAGGGTAAATAGGGCCGCCAGAGAAAGCCAGTCTTTCACAACTTTCTCTGCTCTTGTCAGTAGTTTTCTGTTGTCTGTATCTAAGTCTCCCTCAACCTTCACAGTCCACTTAGTTTTCTGTTGTCTGTATCTAAGTCACCCTCAACCTTCACAGTCCACTTAGTTTTCTGTCGTCTGTAACTAAGTCTCCTTGAACCTTCACAGTCCACTTAGTTTTCTGTTGTCTGTATCTAAATCTCCCTCAACCTTTACAGTCCACTTAGTTTTCTGTTGTCTGTATCTAAGTCTCCCTCAACCTTCACAGTCCACTTAGTTTTCTGTTGTCTGTATCTAAGTCTCCCTCAACCTTTGCAGTCCACTTAGTTTTCTGTTGTCTGTATCTAAGTCTCCCTCAACCTTCACAGTCCACTTTTAGGTTGACAATCGAGCGCCTTTGCTGTAACTTTGTCTGGTCTCATCCTTAATGCATGGCACATTCAGCGCCATCTTTCTTCAGTTAATTCTGATACAGTTTCAGTTTCTCTGTCTCCTAGAAACCTATTATTAAAGAAAGTCAATGGCCAGTGGATGCCTCTTTTCGTTCATAAAAAGCATCCAACTTTTGATATCCAACTATGAGTTAAAAATGAACTATTACTATTACATGCTACATAAGTTGATAATAACAACGATAAAGTAAACATGCAACTAGTTATAAATATACACACCAATAAAATGATGTTTATTTTGGTAAATATGTAAGACATTCTAGTTGGTTCGCACAAATATAAGCAGATTTTTACACGCTAAATCAGCCTTTGGTTTTGATAATTTATTCATACGTTTTTCTTGCTCTTTAGTACATGAAAACTTGTTTTTAAGTCGTTTTTATGAAGTTTTTAGGGTCAGGTTTTAATGACTGATTTAATCAACGCTTTATTGATTAAAAAACTCTTATATGTAGTCAGATAAGTTGAATATAATATATTTTACGTCATATTAACAAAGTTATATAGTATTTCTTCTATGATTTACAAGTTATATGGTATTCAATATTCTTCGAGAATCAATCTAGAGGTTTATAATAAACATGTTTTTTCTGGTTTACGGAAAAATTTCTTTTACTTTTATAGACTTTGCTCCAATCATTTATATTATAGCCTTGGCGTAAAGGAAATGTTAAAAAACATTGGCCTACGTATGTTCGTTTACAGAATATTTTAAGACAAATTCGAGAGCTTTACATCGTGCTACGCTAAAATTAAAGCGGGATTGATCTTCCCTAAACTTTCTCCAATATACTTATGTAATACTACTGGGGACGGCAAATCGGCATATAGATATAATTTGAATCAATTTTAAATTACTTTTTTTCCCCCTTTTATCCGCATGTTGTTATTGTGTTTGTAATTTTTTGTGAATTAAAAAAAAAATGGGAAAATTAAACGTTCAAATTCTAGACGCAGTCATATCCCCTTTAATATTACACCTACTTGAAAACAGTTTAGTATAGGTCTAAATAGTAAAGGATTTTTCTTCAATCCAAATGTTTTCTCCGTTTAATCGTGCGTGTAGTAAAAAAAACAGTGAAAATTAAAAGTTCAATTTCCTTTCGTGGAATCTTGAAGATATCATTTGATAATAATTAAAACTTACTTTTGTTGAGGATAGATATCTTAGTTCCTTGCAATTTATTTACAGAAAAGGTCGATACCATTAGCTTTTAAGTGTCTGAATAGTTCAGCTCTAATGCTTTCATTATCAAATTCCTCATTGATTTTATGTGTGCTTCATATTGTACTTGCTCTTTTTCTCCAGCTTTTTCATACTTTTGTTTTAAATCTCAGCAAAGTTTTGGACTTAATTTTTTATATTCTCATGTGTAAGGTTTAATAAATCCATTTTTAAATCCATCTTAGATTAGTTAGAAAAACACTGTATATCCAGCGGTACATTTTCTACTCGAGCGCTCAACTTCTAGAACAGGTAAACTCTAAAGTTCTAGACCAGGAAGGTTTCGCCTTGAGTGGTTTACATTTAGGCTGGTGTCGGAGAGTCTGACCTGTATTGCAAACATTCACATTAGAGGAACTGACAAGCTTACAGGATTTACAGACCACATCAGCAGTTGTATCTTGCATGACAAAATACTGATAAAAATGGAAACATTAAGTTAATAAAGTTATTGATTCATCCTAGGATCACAAATTAATATCAGTACAATTATATAGAGTTAACATGGTTCTGTAATCTCGACATAAGTATGAAAAACGTAGTCAATGTGTACGTTCCATAACGTGACTAAAGTACCATCGTAGCTGTGTGGACTCAATTACGTGAGTAAAGTACCCTCGTAGCTGTGTGGACTCATTTACGCAGTACAATTAGCCTTGGTCCTTATTGCCTTTATCACATTGAAAAAAAAACGACAGCTATTATATGTTTGATAATTCAGAAGATTTTATTATGTGTTTAAAAAAATAAACGAAAAAAAACAAAACAAATGAAATAACACATTAACCATAAGTTGTATAAACGGATGTATTTGTAAATATAAAAACCAAACAATTCATTAAACTACACAAAGGGAGGCTTGATATAAAAATTAAGTGGACGTTATAATAAAGATGTATATAAATGCATATAATTTCTTTCCATTAAATGTGTCCATGTAAACACACTAAACAAATACAATTATAAAATTAGGTAATTGGAAATTTCTCTAGACTATGGTATGGAACACAAAAAGACACTAAATTGTTCACGGGAGATAACAATTAAAATTACCGACTTGATTTGTGAGAGTATGGTTATATACCTTGAAAACGATAATAAAAAATATTTCAATCTCAGTAATATAAATATATTCAGAATTAAACTTTTCTTTTGTACTGATATGTACTAATATGTAATAATAGAGATTTCTAAATAAACAAACATGCTCGATATGAGATACATTAGATAAAATATTAACTACTTAAACATAGGATTTACTTAAATAATCTGTTTTTATTCTACTGTATGACCGAATAATGTTCACATTTATAATACAAATCTTTACAGATCCCAAATTAACAGTTACTATCTACTTTATGTGATTTTGGATGGCATATATATCTATCGAAAAATAATGCGAAAAAAATATTATTGAAAAATGTGCACAAACATTACACACTTTATTAGGGTTGAACTACACACGATCCGAGTGAATGTCTAATTAAAGATATAGTGGTAGATGACAACTACACTACTAGTCTAGTTATGAATATGAAAGAAATAAATGACACCATCATAGTCGGTTTTTTTCTGTTTTAATGGCTAACACACACACAGTCAATCTATGAGGAATTTCAATTCTAGATAAGTGTATACATGGGTTTATTACATCATAATAGCAAAACAAACTCTGTTGTAAATTTTAAAATCATTTTTTAAAATAAAATGTTTGGTTTAATGTTCGTTAATTTTAAACTCCTTATGTATACTCACCATCAAGAAAATATTGCCTTAGTTAAATGTTTACATCTATTTCTTTTAATATATGAAATGTTGTTTATGGTTCTGAAGATTATATAAATATTTTGATAACTGTATATCCATTATTTTGACATAGCATCGTTTTTAGGTTGTTTACATTTGACGAAGTTTCATCTCAACAAAGTCTAGAGAGTCAGAATAGCCTGTAATGCTATTCCAATGAATTCCTTTATTAGAAACACGACTCGCCCATTCACCGTTGACTTTAACATAGTGACAATCCTCATACCACCAACCACCTCTACCGTAGTTCACAGCACAGTTGCCACCTGACCACACATCGTTATCAGAGTCAATGGTTGTAAACTTCATGCCGTTATGACGACTAAACTTGTCATCAACATTCCCACCACTGAATGACGTGTAGCTCATCTTATACTTTGCTGCTTCATTTTCTACCTTAAAACCTCTGTACTCAGCGTAGTAGTCTTTACCTTTATACTTCATATCAAATCTGAGTTCATTGTAAACCTGTGTTAGAAACAAAATTAGAAATATTTATATTTTGCATTGTGTTTGAAATATTGTAAGTATTGATCCCTCTATACTATTTGATAATTATACATATTGATTAAAAAACGTAACGAAAATCTATAAACAATATGCACAATTTTCCAAAACACTTTATTACAATAATACACACACTGCTTGAAAACTTCCTATGTAAAAAGTAAATATTGAATAAACTTTTTTTGATAGTTCCTGTATCTACCCCACCATTAAAACAAAACACATCTGCTGAGAAAGGAAATATTACATTATCTATTGCCTGCTTACATTGCACATTAAAAATATATTCCCTTACAAGAAATACTATTTATATTCAATTTACGTATGGCTTTTCTAGAACTCCCTCCTTTTTATTAATCTCCTTACATTGCTGCCGTTTTAACATGCTAGTAGGTAATAAACCCATCTCCCTTACAATATATATTACTTATGTACTTTTCCTTCTTTTGATAAGCTCAATAGCCCTAATTCTAAATCTTACAAGGTATCTTATTTGTATCTCTATATGTATGTTGTGTAATGGGGTTAATATAATAAAGGTGAGGGCAGGCGGGAGGGTGTGGAATAGAACTGTTGATAAAACCTGTAGAGGAAGAAATCACCGGCGGAAAATATCCTGCTGACTGCATTACACTATTCTGTAAAGTTCGTCACATAACCACGCCCTTTATTATAATATAAGCTTTGTTACCCTTCCTAAAATATCAACTAATCTGTAAATCGGTTATCTAATAAACACTTCTAAAATCAACGGATCAAGATACTTTGCTTTTTTCTCAAATTGTTTTGTACAATTTAAAAACCCAACGAAATACATTACTATACATGCGCCATTAAAATAGCACGTTACTTAATCTAGGTCCATTTAAATGTATTTAAAATATTCAATGCCATGACTGATGATTTAAATGTGCATTTCAGTTACATGTGTACACCAGACGCACAGTCCAATCGATATGAAGATTAAATAAAATTATCAACATGAATTTATTAGTAACTGTAAACAATTGTATGCTATATTAATAGCAGAAATTTCAAGACTTTGCATTCACTACGTACCTCCACATTTGCAGCTTATATTATGCATCCATCTATTTATCCCCTTTTTCAACAGCCCATTAACAGTTTTAGCCAGATTCAATACATTCTTCCGCTCATATTTGTCATATGTCTTCATCGTTCAATTCTTGAATTTTATTTGGCTATCTCCACCTCAGCAATGCATCTAGGTCAAGTTGTAGCCTACACTATGGTAGCAATGCAGAGCGTGTCTAAAAGAGCATCGTATTTTTTTTCTCGATCAGTATACAACCTCTACGGCGGCTTAATACTAAACTCGTTTACAACCTCGAATGTATAAGGTTTACGGTTGGGTAATTTATATTTAGCTCTTAGCTTCCGAGTTTCTTGATCACAACACCTTAGATACGCATCACCGCCTCGGGTGTCTCATCCCTACAACCCTCGTGCCCCCATCTCTTTTCGTACTATTTATTCTGTATGAATATGGTTTATATTGCTCCTTTTTTGTATCGGTTTTATTTACATAACATTCAAACAAACATTGTAATGATATGTTTTAACACTAATTTAATAGTATTTTATATTTACTGTCCAATGGTCCACAGCTTACATGACCCCATCCGTCTATCTCCTCACCCCACCCCCCTAGACCCCCACCTCTTTTCACATTGAGTTGAATTTCCTGAAAGTCATCATTAAAATGGTTTTGTTTACCTTAATTAACATGTACGAAACTATTCAAATTCTTTCACGAGAACACTGCTAACCAATTGTTTACCTTTTAAACTCCACCGTACCCCCACACATCATTATAGCTTCACACCTACGCACCCCACACATGTCGGTGCTAAGCAGTCAAATAATCTTAGCTACGACTATGAACATCGTCCCCGAAACACCAACCTTTACCCGCTCCCGCTTAATCGCTCACATACCAATCTGTTCGGTAACCCCCCCCCCCCCCCGTAGCGACCTCACCCCAGAACATCAGCTTTCATTTGTTTGTGTTTTTTTTTCCTGGTATAGCTAGTATTGTACAGCCATCCGTGACGATAGTTTACAGTCGACAATGAAAAGATCAAGCAGAGCTTGTTATTACCTCCCCTTATTTTTACATCGATTAAAATCTAAATTATCTGCCACTAATAGCCGTAAATATTTCGACCGGACTCTACGATTGTAAACAGCTCACCAGACTGGTAGGGTGGGGGTGGTAGCGACATGGTCTGTTGAGTATGCAAGGAGAGTGAGAGAGGGGAAGGTTCGGCGTGCGTCGACGTCTTGTCCCGAATGGTCCCCATAAAGAGAATTATATACGTAGATGTTTATTGTACAAAATGGGATGAAATCCACTTAAACCTACTTTATTTTCGACTATTCTACTATATGTTATAATTTTCACCCTCGTGTTGTTAGTAAAATGTTCTAAACCAGCATTTGACAACTTTTCTTTAACCAACATGCTTTAAACCCAATGTATTTTATGTATTTATTTACTTATTTATCTATTTATTTATTTATTATAACTCATGCATCATTCTAACTACCTTGTAAATATCCCCCCAAACGGCATGTTATTATGTTATGTTACCTCAATTACAAAGCAATAGACGCAATGTGTTTCTTCCAGAATTTTTCTCCCGGGGGAAGGGGGGGGGCACTTGATATTTTTGGGCGGTCAACACTTTCCGAGGGGGGGCGGGGTGCACACTAGTACAAGTATATTTTTACTATATAAATTATATTTTATTATGGTGGGGGGGGGGGCTGGCGGTTAGGCTTTTTTTCGGGGAGGGGGGAGGCAGAGCCCCTTCACCTCGAAGAAAAGCCTTGAAGAAACTGTGGACGAAATATCACAAGCAATAGTATACCAACAGTATACATATCATTGCCATACCAATCCGTCATACAACGGTAAGTACTCCCAGTTCTTTGAAAAAAAAATGTATGCAGGGCCAGGTAGAGAGCTAGGTCCGCTCCCATCCTTTGATACTACAACTGTACTTTAAACACACAAGCATACACTTTTATTTTGTTGATGTATTATGATTTTAATAACTAATCATATAGAAGCTACTCTGTCTTTAATCTAGCTACTTTTTTCCCGAAAGGGAAGCTATCAACTAATTGCAGAGTCAGGCAGAAAGCCAGGACTGTCTCCTTTTATTTACACTTCCATCCTATTATACCATTTATTATATTCCCTATGTTTCTCAATGTTTTCTGCGATGCCTAACTTGAAGTGTTTTGTTGATTTTTTAAAATATGAAAAAGACTGTTGTAGGTGGTAGGTGTAAACGAACTGGGCGCATGATACTTCTTCTATTTTAACAAAATAAAATTGTACATTATAATTCTTGTCCTGTTCTTCTAAAATGCATGCTCTATTTCAGAAAAATCCCAAACTCTACATGAACTAGACCAACAGTTTACACACATAGACGTTTTGTGTATTCCCTCCTCCTTACAGTCCCACACTCTCCCATAAAAACCCCATTTCGCTATGTTTTCTTTTTCTTCCAGGATGAACAATTTGCTCCAGTGAAAGTAATTAAAAACTCCCCAAAATCCATAACACGATGTATTTGTATGTATATTTATGTACGAAAGATTAAAGGATAGCTGAAAAATGTAAGCCTATACCAGTCTTCATATGTCAGATGATAAACAAAGTAATATAATAGCGGACACCTCTTAGGCAACGTTGAGGCTCGCCGATAAAGATTACAAGTCTTGGACATAAAACATATATTTAAAAAATGCTATTTAATCAACTATAACACGCTTACTTGAGGCCCGAAATGAGTTTGTACATAATATTGTCTGGTTTGTTGTCTCAGGGTGGTTAAACATCGCAATGAAATAGTTTAAATTACTCCGGAAACAGACAAATTCAAATTTATTGAAGCAAACTACAATGTTTTTTTTGTTTACGAGAATAATATAATTAAAACAATTGTTCACTTTGCCAATTGCAGAACATTATAGTTCTCTTACTTAATCAGTTATTCACTGCTAGTCAATAATACCCCTTCCCTAAAATGTATTACACAAGTTCTGTAATTACTGTCCCATCTTATAAATTTCAAAATATTACCGAACCTATCCATCTCCTATTTATAACCCTAAGCTTTTTCTATCCTAAGCCTTTTGTATCTATTGTCATAATAATGTACCCGGCAGATGGCTAGAGGTATGTCGTCAGATAACAATTTCAATGACAAGCTGCGAGCGGTCGTTTAGCAAGTTGAAACTTTTTTTCTTCGCATTTACGTGCGTTAATGGGTCAAGATCGTCTCGGTGATCTTGCTCCTTATAGCGTTGAAAGAGAAACATTGGAAAAAAAAATTTGACTGCGCAATTGAACAGTTTGCGACTGTGAAATCAAGAAAAATAAATCTTGTGTAGACTATGTCAATCAGTATACGGCATTGACTGAGTGGATCATGTAGTATAATTTCTATAAATTTGCTTCTTTAAATACAATATTTTCTTAAAATTTAAATTGTTTTACTTATTTATAGTAATAGAAAAATGTGTTCAAACGGGTTTTGGGATGGGGCGACAATTGAATAGTCCGTCCCCTGGCGTAAAATATCATAGCTACACGTCTGCATTTCTTGCCGGTCACTGTTCCTTAAATGTATTTCTTTTGCAGTTACAAGGTCAAGGTAGAAAACACTTAAATCAGTACATAAAGGATCGTAGCCCTTACATTTCTTGACTTTGTTTATAATTGAAAACTGCACCAATAATGAGCTTTTAATTTTTTCCCAACCCAATTTGGCGACCCTCGGGTCGGCGCCCGGGGACATATGTACCCCTACGGCTCCCTCTCTACACCTCTGCGTGTCAGTTTCACAGAAAATCCTGTAAGCACTAACATTACATTTAGCTGGAACAGTAGTTTGCGTAAAATAAAACGGTTCTTAGGTATTCGAATAACTCTACATGATTTAAAAGTAAGGGGAATTATAAACTCGTGTTTGTGGTAAGTCTATATTAACTTGTGTTTTAGACACACATGATCAAACTTAATAACCAAAAGATATTTTTCCGTACATTTTGTTATGGCGAAATTTTAAAGAGGTTCTAGATTTCTGATGTTCTTACTAATTTAGTTAGCTGATAAATGACGTCATTTCCTATCCAGAAGTCTCCAGAAGTTGAGCCAAATCCGTTTTTATAATCGTTCCAAGTTCTTGTAAAGTTCACATCACCTTTCACACGTCGCTGTTTATAAAAATGATGGTAAAAGTTCAAAGATAGTTTATAGTGTGCTGTATATTAGCAAGCGCAAAAAAATTACAAAATGATACATTTATATTAAGAAATATACTGTACAGAAGATACAAATATGCAAATTATACAAAATTGGATTAATTCATTTGCAGATAGCTAATTTAATGTAAAATATCAATTTATGCAATATAGGGTTAAAATCAATATTTCAAAATTAAAACGTTTAAGGAAAATTGATTATAATGGTTTTACATCTGGCCTTTACATTTTGTTTCTGTCATACTTTGTGTTCAATCTAATGTTAAAATAATATTTACCACATATTACTTTTTTTAAAAACCCAACCTGCTAAGATCTTTTATTTAACAAATTACACACAAGCTCAAAAAAAAGTTAATACTTGAATGATAATCCATCCACCACCGTCAGTCTTCATATCACATGCAGTTCGATTAGGTTCGAGTGTAACACCATTTCTGATTTGTAACTCTTGAAGGAGAAAAAGTCTACACCCTAACTGTGAATTTTTTAAAAAAATAGATAAATTAATGCTAAAAGTATCTAGGCATAATAAAATTGTGTTAATGAACCGAATATAATTACATATAAACAAGTAAAAAACTATTTTGTTTTTTCATGTATTGTTTCTTAAGATATTATATATGGTAACCAGAAAGATGCGCAACGGAAAAAATGCGCACTCAGAAAAATGCGCAAACAAAAATTAGCTGAAAAATGCTCAAACAGAAACAGGCACAGACAGAAAAATGAAGATACAAATTTGCTCACAAAGCAAAACCTACGCAAAAGAGATACATTGCGCACAAAACTATGTGCACAATAGATACACGCATATAAATTACTGCGCAATTACAAAAAATTACACACAGATCGCTCACCAATAATGATAATGGTGATGTGCGTGTGTTTATGCGTGAATATATGAGTTTGTACCTGTCTATGTGTCTACACAGACCGGAATATTTCAATCCAACTTCTGTATACTTTTTTAGATTTGTAGAATAATAAACGCGGCTTCTCATTGTAAAATGAATAGAATCAATAGTTGGTAAGATTTACCGATTATATATGCTGTTCGACCAAAGGTGATAAACCCAACGTTGCTTGGCCACTTCCAGGGTTTATCCACAGGCAATTTGTTCATCGCGGGTGTTGATTACTGGTGGTTAGACCATATGTGATTTGCATAACTAAGCCTATACCTACACCTGCACATACACTTGCCTACATACCTACATTTACAGCTACACTTACACTTACAAGTACACTGTACCCTACCGTCTACAAACGGATCGAACGACCCACACAATCACTCACTGACTGGCCTGCCCACCTGTCTATTTGTCTGTATATCAGTCCATCCTTCATTACATGCATCTAATAACCAGGCAAATTGTATTCTTATTCAAAAAACACATTTCTGGTTAACTGATCGGTCGGTCGGTGTATGTGTGGGTGTAGGCGTAGTTGTGCAAACCACGTTTGGTCAAATCAACTGTAATTACACAGCCGTATTTGACAAATTGTCTGGGGACAACACATTGCTGTCGTCAAACAACCATCTATGTTTGAAGCGATTTCGTCAACTGCATCTATTTAACTATGATCGTAAAATCTTAGCAATTTATGTTTCAATGCATTTTAGAAAGAGCGGTGACATTTTTAAAATTAAGATATATAGAAATAAAAATAACATGTTTATGTATACACTCATACACATAAAAAAATAAGCATTCAAGCATAAACACACACTTCCACTTCCGGTTACCGGAAATCGCTGAAAAGTTGATACAGAACTACCAATTTGATATAATACTCATGTATGACATTTCATCAACCTAGCTGTATCGGTACTCAAGTTATCGTGTTCACAGACACACACAGACACACACAGACAGACACACACACAGACATACGGACAAGAATACAAATGTATGTTTTTCCGACTCAAGAGGTGCAAAACGTCGCGATTTGCATAAATCTAGATTTTTTTTGCACGATAACAATACTTCTTTTATACTTCCTATATACGTGAAAGTAAAAAGAAAAAGTGGTACATTCAGTGAAATATGGGTTATGGTAAGTAAGACATTGAAACCACACAAAAAAGGCAATGGGGACTTTTTTTTATTTTATAATAGGCCAAGCATTTGTTTTGTACTTTTAAAAAGTCCTTGGCTTTTTCCCCCGTATTTAGGATTAAAACTTGTTTGCATGTGTTTATATAGGTATCATTGACCTCTTGGATGTGGCAAAAGTACCATGATCAACTTTCAGATAATCATAAAGACAAGCTTCTTTCTGAGGTATTCCACACGAGAATCATCTTCTTCGTCTAGCCTATCTAATTCACCTTACATTCGATATAAAAACATTTTATACTTTTTTATGTCAAAGTCAATAGGGGGGGGGGGGGGTCGTCCATAAAGACATGACACTTGTAGTGGAAGGGGGATCCATGATTTTGTGACGGTGTGCGACGAGGGGTAGGGGGGAAGGAGGTTCATGTAGTGTGACGTCACACTTTTGCATTATAAAAATTCAACGTTGGAGAACTTTTTAAATTAAACGCAATAGAAATTGATTCAAATACTCTATGTTGAAAGAGTTCAGGCAAGATTTTAGAAATATATCGATGTCTTAAGAAAATTTATAATGCAATTTAAAGAGGTAGGGCAGTGACGTTGCTATGTCGGGTGTCACCCGGTGCGGCATTTTGTGGTGTCACCCCCTTCCCCTAAGTAACAAAGTATATATATATATATATATATATATATATATATATATATATATATATATATATATATATATATATACAGTTGGGTATAGCATTATATTTTTATAATCAGCGCGTTTACGTTATGGTGTCGCCCTCGACCTTTTTCAATAATTGTCGATTTATACTTAAAGACTATTTAACTTTCATTAACCATTAATAGAACTGACAAGAAAGCATTTTTCTTCTGAGCATTTTGCATTTTTGTGCCTTGGTGTCACCCCCCTAAATGGTGTCACCCGATGAGGTCCCGCCCTCGCTACACCCTTGGGGAGGGAGGTTAGACTGAGATGTGACATCATTGAAGGGGGTGTGACTTTTGTAACGATTTGCTACGGAAAAGAGGAGATAAAAATCGTCAAATTTAACGTAACGTCATTTATGGATGACCCATAATTACTGGCTTTCCATTTTGTTGCTTTCCAACGGTAGAGTAACCTTTATGTTTTCGGCAACTGCTATGGTGTATGGTTGGCTTCTTGCTGTTTCAGCAGTTAAACGGTAAAATACGGTAAAGCTATCGGACACATACAAAGCAAGCGATGATTTTTGTTGCGGCGTGAAGAACATTAAATGTTGATATCTGAGTCCGTGCTTTTGACAACGTTTAGCAATAAAGCAATGCAATGTAGGCCATACATGTCGATAGTCAACGACAATATGCTACAAGTCTCAAAATATATAATTGAAATACCTTTCTAAATATAGGCTTACAACGTTGAAGATAATTATTAGGAATGTATTAGCGGTAGCTATTCAATTTATAGCAACATTTAAAAGAAAATCCGTTGTAGTTAGCAAACAACTTACCAAAGTAGTTACATCATAACATACTTATCCTAAAACGAGGATAGTAGGGATCAAATAAATATTGACCCTTTCCAGTGAGTTTCCAATTTGCAATACAAACTGTGTTTTTTGACATTTTTCAGTACAGCTCAAACTAATGAATAGCTGGCGCGGGAAGGAAGTCGATAATTATGTTTTATATGATGTTTTATGTTTATACAGGATCATTAAATACCACTATATATATATATATATATATATATATATATATATATATATATATATATATATATATATATATATATATATATATATATATATATATATATATATATATATATATAAATAATAAGAAAAATATAAAAAAGAAAATATAAAACTTACGCGATCCATCTCTTGGAGTAGCTCACCATGCTCGTAAGTTTTTTTATAAATCTTTTGAACTGTGTTGTTAATATTTTCCACACTCTTTTTTAACTCGAGGTTTGTATTATTAAAGTTAAACATAGCCCATTTAAAATCCTTGTCTGTATTGTTAAGCTGTGATACAGCAGACATTAAATCCGAGTCTGTATTGTTAAGCTTTGATAGAGCAGACATTAAATCCTTGTCTGTATTGTTTAGCTTTGATACAGCAGACATTAAATCCGAGTCTGTATTGTTTAGCTTTGATACAGCAGACATTAAATCCTTGTCTGAATTGTTTAGCTTTGATACAGCAGACATTAAATCCTTGTCTGTATTGTTTAGCTTTGATACAGCAGACATTAAATCCTTGTCTGTATTGTTAAGCTGTGATACTGCCAATATTAAATCCTGGTCTGTTTTGATAAGATTTGATACATCTAATAACCTAAGCAAATCGTTTAGCTTGTTGTTTAATTTCTCTATTTTAGCATCTTGATCAAAATGTGTATTATTTAGTCGTTTTTCGACCATTTCTGTAACATTAGCTAATATCACATCTCTATGTTCTATATGTAACTCTTTTCCATGATATATTTGATTAGAAAGATTTCCGTTTGTTAAAAACTGTAAATTCATCTTCAAGTCAGCACTGTTAAACTTATTAGAATCATGAAATGTTTTTAGAAATTCTGACATTCTATCAATTGTTTTATCAAACTCTGGAGTTTTAGCCTCTAAGGTCATGAACATCAGCGGCTTACGATTGTCTTGGTCAACAGGTTTGGTTTTATTTTCTTTCATCTCAGTGTGACCCCTTTTATTTGTGTAATACACATCACATCCAAACAATGTACTAAAACAATCAGAAGGTTTTGTAAAAGACACAGTCAGCTCTCCAAACACCTTTGAACTCTTCCCATCAGCTTTTGATCCATTCACTTTATAATCTCGAACTCTTGAATCTGATTCTGATACAGACGCCAACATAATCTCCCCCTCTAAATCACTGATCCTATAGACTGACATGTTGACAAGAGCTGAGATTTCATTATCTTCTCTTGTGTTCTGCACACAATGTAACTTGGCACAAAATAATTCTCTACCCTCTATATAGTATTCTCTTTCCAATGAAATGTCAAGTCCTGAAAATATATAAGTATTTTATAAAAACTTGTAAGCATAAAATATGGTTAAGTTTGCTTTAAATTAAAAAAGCAGTAATTTCCATCCCATTATCATCATGTCTATTTGTTTGTTTGAAAAGAGTTTTTTATCACCGTAAGTTATTTTTTATATAAATATAAGTTTTAAATAAACGTGTATCCCATCGTTAAAGCATTTATGTTGTTTTAATTCCAATAGACAAAAGATCGATCACACACAGATGTTCTACACTGCTTCTCATCACTTACATTTCTGTCAGCTTGAGACAAAAAATATTTCTGGCAACATAAGACTAGTCTGCCTATATTGTAACGTTTAAACGGTCACATCACGTACTTCATCTTTATATCTCTGGGGCATCTTATAAATTATTACAATTTCAATATATACACACATTATAAGTGTAATACTACATAATACTGACATGTTAATAATATATTAAGGATGTTCCGTAACCAAATGCAGTTTATGCTTATACGTTGCGGTATTATAATATGCTGATCGATTGTACAAGGTCCAATTATTATATAATATATTTGATCGATCGTGTACTTATAGCACTTCGATGCAGTAATTTTAAGGGAATTCTTTTTTTTTTTGTTATTGTTGTCAAAAATTGTCACTTTATATCTGGATCCTTCACTCGTTTTACTGTACAAGCACAACCGTTAACCGTTTTGCGATCCTGATGGTCAATGGTGCAGTAGAGTTAACCTATTTCAATGACCTAAGTCAATGAAGTGAGAGCGCTTTCAGCAATATTCTCTTCCTCGCTTTATGAATGTAAGTAAACCGCGTTTAAACTTCCAAAATAAAGTTTAAACGCTGCATTCAATAACATCTTAGATAGTCTTATAATATTGTGAGGCTGGTCATCTGCAACATGGTTTGTTGATAAAATATGGTATGTTGATAAAAACCGCTCAACGGAGTAGAACTCTCACGAGTAAATAAACAACATTCTTTGTTGAAAGGCAAATTCGCTGTTATGATACTCAGAAAAAATTGAGCAACGTATCAAAGAAATGCATAGTCTTACACGGAATTAAAGTGTAGAGTTTCGCATAAGAAAAAGATAAAGATAACAACGAGACTGGTCGACTATTGTCTCTAGCGTTGTTCCATCTTGCCATAGATTGGATCATGAGAATTGCAACAGAGTAAAAAAGAAAGTATATACCACGGACTCACTGTTAACAATTTGATGACAAAGACTTTGTAGAATATCTCGTCTTATCTCACCCAAGCAATAATAAGTACAATAGGAAAAAAAGCAACCAAAATATCTACAACTGTAAAGGCATGTTTATAGGGAGAAAAACAGAATCGTATAGAAAAAAGGAAAAACAAATATCTCTCCTAAATAACTGAAAGATAAATATATATAAAACATAAAATTTGCCACGACCAAGGCAGGATAACAAATAAAAATATAGCTGGGAAAGGTGCAGACAAAAAAAAGCCAGAATTGGAAAGGCAAGAGAAGCTTTTAGCCATATGAAAACGTCTTGAGTTAGAGAAAACTGACTGTCAAGTTAAAACTAAAATGATCAAGCCTAAACGTTTGCATAGAGATATAACTTAGAGAACTAATATAAAAACACAAAGCATGCATGAACAAAATATTTGTTGTATACTCGCCCGAAGAATAGATTTAAAAGAAACTTGATTAAAACCATCATCAAAGAAGAACACTAGAGTTACACAATTCAGAAACTGATTCAAAAGGAGGTGTAAATTATTTATTATTATTCCAAAGGAGTGACTACTCTTTAAACAACTATTGGGCATCAACTATCAGGACCTAGAAGGAACCCATTGTAGTAAAAAATCCTCATAGATTTAATTGGAGACAGGATTTAGAGAAGAAGGGTCTACGACAAATTCCCGAAAGACACTTGCCCGAATGCCGTTTGCCCGAAGGCCGATTTCCCGAATGGACACTTACCCGAATGCGACAAATGCCCGAATGGACACTTGCCCGAATGCGACAAACGCCCGAATGGACACTTGCCCGAATGCGACAAATGCCCGAATGGGCACTTGCCCGAATGCGACAAATGCCCGAATGGACACTTGCCCGAATGGGACAAATGCCCGAATGGACACTTGCCCGAATGCGACAAATGCCCGAATGCCACTTGCCCGAAGGCCGTTTGCCCGAAAAATGTTAATATTAGATAATAAATAATATTTCCAAATAGACATTCTTTAATCAATTTAAAATCCTACCTAGAAGTCTATAACTATAAACTATCTTATTCCTAAACATTAAGAAAAAGACCAAACCAAAGCATCTGCCTATGCCTTAAACGTAACACAAAACCAAAATCAACCCTAGCCATAGCCCTATCCCCATCTCTAAACCTAGCTCCAGACCTAGCCCTAGCCCTAGCCCTAGCCCTAGCCCTAGCCCTAGCCCTAGCCCTAGCCCTAGCCCTAGCCCTAGCCCTAGCCCTAGCCCTAGCCCTAGCCCTAGCCCTAGCCCTAGCCTAGCCCTAGCCCTAGCCCTAGCCCTATCCCTATCTCTAAACCTAGCCCTAGCCCTAGCCCTAGCCCTAGCCCTAGCCCTAGCCCTAGCCCTAGCCCTAGCCCTAGCCCTAGCCCTAGCCCTAGCCCTAGCCCTAGCCCTAGCCCTAGCCCTAGCCCTAGCCCTAGCCCTAGCCCTAGCCCTAGCCCTAGCCCTAGCCCAAGCCCTAGCCCTAGCCCTAGCCCTAGCCCTAGCCCTAGCCCTAGCCCTAGCCCTAGCCCTAGCCCTAGCCCTAGCCCTAGCCCTAGCCCTAGCCCTAGCCCTAGCCCTAGCCCTAGCCCTAGCCCTAGCCCTAGCCCTAGCCCTAGCCCTAGCCCTAGCCCTAGCCCTAGCCCTAGCCCTAGCCCTAGCCCTAGCCCTAGCCCTAGCCCTAGCCCTAGCCCTAACTCTCTCATGGGGTAATGTCGGAGGGGAATGTCCGGGGAGTAATTGATGTTCAACATCTGTAAATTGAATCAATGTTTACAGTTTAAAGACATACATTTATTTTTATTTTTACAGAAATAACCTGGTGTCAATCTTGTGTTATTTTCTATTTAAAAGAATATTAATAGGGTTTTAGATTAGAAATTGTGTAAGAATACTGATAGGATTTTTAAAAATAGTATATATATATATATATATATATATATATATATATATATATATATATATATATATATATATATATATATGAATATATGAATGTGCACAAGTGATTATTCGGAGTATTGTATTTTCGTATAAGTGTATGTTTGTACTAGTGTATGCTTGTCTTGTAGGGTGCCATGATTTTCTTTTACTTTCAGGTTTTTCATTTTTTTTTCATAATGCGCACGCAGTTTGCGATCGCTTATAGTAGAGTGATCGCTTGCATTATTGTGATGTATAGCATTTATTTTCTACTTTTTAATTCAATCAGAAAACGTGGGATTTTAAAAAAAAAATTTAATGATAATAATTTTTAAATTAAATCTAGAATCCTAACTTGTTTTTACGGGCTTAAGTATTAGGCATTCACACAAAAAAAAAATAATTTGAAAGTAGACATTACATGTTAAGCTTAATTTTGAAACATTCAACTGTTATTTTCGTATTAATTTTTTAAACAAGATGGGTAACTAAAATACTGATAAAACCTATAGAATTGTTTTAAATTACATATACACATACACACATACACACATACACACATACACACATACACACATACACACATACACACATACACACATACACACATACACACATAAACACATACACACATACACACATACACACATACACACATACACACATACACACATACACACATACACACATACACACATACACACATACACACATACACACATACACACATACACACATACACACATACACACATACACACATACACAAATACACACATACACACATACACACATACACACATACACACATACACACATACACACATACACACATACACACACACACACACACACACATACACACATACACACATACACACATACACACATACACACATACACACATACACACATACACACATACACACATACGCACATACACACATACACACATACACACATACACACATACGCACATACGCACATACGCACATACGCACATACACACATACGCACCTACAAACATACACACATACACACATACACACATACACACATACACACATACACACATACACACATACATACATATACACATACACACATACAACCATACACACATACACTCATACACACATACACACATACACACATACACACATACACACATACACACATACACACATACACACATACACACATACACACATAAACACATACACACATACACACATACACACATACACACATACACACATACACACATACACACATACACACATACACACATACACACATACACACATACACACATACACACATACACACATACACACATACACACATACACTCATACACACATACACACATACACACATACACACATACACACATACACACATACACACATACACACATACACACATACACACATACACACATACACACATACACACATACACACATACACACATACACACATACACACATACACACATACGCACATACGCACATACGCACATACGCACATACGCACATACAAACATACACACATACACACATACACACATACACACATACACACATACACACTTACACACATACACACATACACACATACACACATACACACATACACACATACACACATACACACATACACACATACACACATACACACATACACACATACACACATACACACATACACACATACACACATACACACATACACACATACACACATACACACATACACACATACACACATACACACATACACACATACACACATACACACATACACACATACACACATACACACATACACACATACACACATACACACATACACACATACACACATACACACATACACACATACACACATACACACATACACACATACACACATACACACATACACACATACACACATACACACATACACACATACACACATACACACATACACACATACACACATACACACATACACACATACACACATACACACATACACACATACACACATACACACATACACACATACACACATACACACATACACACATACACACATACACACATACACACATACACACATACACACATACACACATACACACATACACACATACGCACATACGCACATACGCACATACACACATACACACATACACACATACACACAAACACACATACACACATACACACATACACACATACACATATACACACATACACACATACACGCATAAACGCATACACGCATACACGCATACTCGCCTACACGCCTACACGCATACACGCATAAACTCATACACGCGTACACCCATGCACGCATACACGCATACACGCATACACGCATACACACATACACACATACACACATACACACATACATACATACACATATACACACATACACGCATACACGCATACACGCATACACACATACACACATACACGCATACACGCATACTCGCATACGCACTTACGCGCATACGCACATACGCACATAAGCACATACGCACATACACACATACACACATACACACATACACACATACACACATACACACATACACACATACACACATACACACATACACACATACACACATACACACATACACACATACACGCATACACACATACACACATACACACATACACACATACACACATACACACATACACACATACACACATACACGCATGCACGCATACACGCATACACGCATACACGTATACACGCATACACACATACACACATACACACATACACACATACACACATACACACATACACACATACACACATACACACATACACACATACACACATACACACATACACACATACACACATACACACATACACACATACACACATACACACATACACACATACACACATACACACATACACATATACACGCATACGCACATACACACATACACAAATAAATTTGCAAAACTATGTTTTTCCGACTAGGGTAGTAAAACGTCAAGATTTGTGAAAATATCGATTTCGATTTTTTAAACTATTACAATACTTTCTCTATACTTCGTATACGTGGAAATAAAAACAAACAATTGTTACCTAAAAAAATACACAGATAAATAAAACTAAATATCTCCATCACATTTGCGTTTCAGTTATATACAAATGTACTTACCACAGGTGAACATGATATTTACAAACAACAGAGCCGTCAATAAAATAGAAGACATTGTAGAGTTGTGTAGTTCTGTATCACACGAACGGAGACTTCTCTAAACCGCTGCTTCTGTTTCCTTGTGAGGAAATCGCCGTCTATTTATACCACAAAGTTTCGTTAAAGACAAAGAAAAGTCGTTAACACTTGTTTATAAAAACGTGTGGTAACCGCTTACTCCGAAATTCCACATAAAAAATATGCTGAAACGTAAATATAGTTAGCGGATCTCAAATCAAATAAAATGGCTACATATTTAAAGCCCGTCTTTTATTTTATAAAAGAAATTTCTAGGTTGTTACAGGTCATTTGTAGGTTAGATTAGAATAGGTTAGAATAGTCTAGAACGTACGGGGGAGGCGTGTAAGAGTTGAATTAACCTTGTTGTGTAGTTACCCCCATTTATTATGTATTGCTATACCCAGGTCTAATGCGGGTATAAAAGCTGAAATTAACGATTGTGAGAAGCTTTTTGTTAGCAGCGGCTAGGGACGAGGGTTTGTGGTGTAATGATAAACATGACAAGTTAAAAATGTTTGAACAGTGCCCTAAATAGTGTTTGGAGTTAAATGAAAGGACAACCGTATTGTGTGGTATTGTTGTATTATTTAAAACATTTAGACATTGCCGTGTTGTATGTATGTAATTCAATTAGCTCATTATAAATGTAGACACTAAGAAGAATCATTGCGACTAGGGAAATTTTTAAAAAATATATAATTAAAGTATAACTACCTATAAGGCAGAAAGTTTTGCCTCTAAAAATGTATCTTACCTAAAAAAAACCATGACACACAAAGAAGTAGTTTTAAGATGAGTTAGTAACCTGGGGTTAGTCATAATACCACAATACAACAGATGTAAATAAAAAGTTAACCAGTGACATTTTGAGAACCACTGGACTTGAATACACCGAGATATTTTTTTTCAAGAAATCTGCCTGCGTGTAAGAACTCGGCTTCACACATCATCACGTGACATGCAACGAGTAAAAACAAAAAAGCATTAAGATAAGAGCTCAGCTGTCTACAATATATCACCAAAGTGTTGGTCTTGAGATTTACATAACAGACATACGAGTGTGAACATGTCAAGACAACTCCTGACTCTCCAGTAAAAATTTGTGTCAAAATATTTTTTTAAATCTTCCCAAATAACAAAAGTGGTTCTCAAAATTTATTAAAAAAATATTGAATATGAAAATATAACAAGAAAATGTGTTAGTGACACTTAGACTAAGAAATTACGTTGATTTTATGTATTTAATTTCAAACAGATGTGTTTATATCCAAACGAAAAACATCGGGAGTGATCTCACCTAAACTTTCTCGAATATTCTTTTATAACACTATTGGATGTAGCACATCCCGATAGAGACATGATTTTTTAATTCATTTATAATTACTTAACCTTTTTAAAATAGAATAATCTCGTAGAAAAAAGAATTGCACACCAAGTGAACAAAAAGGAGTATGTGTATAAAAATGCGGAATATTATTAGTTCTTTATAAATGTATATGCGTTTATCTTTAGAAATCGGAAATAGCGTAAATTACCACTTCAGGTCAACGGAAAGTACTAAAAAATTGACAGAAGATGAGATATAATCTACTTATAAGTGAAATTTCGTCTATCTATATGAAATAGTACTAGGCATATTAAACATTGGAAGTAGAGTAAGTTCCTTTTCCGGTTATCGGAAATCGCGGAAAAGTTGATACAGAGCTACACATTTGATACAATACTTATATATGACATTTCATCAAACTATCTGTAATGGTACTCAAACCATCGTGTTTACAGACACAAATACTCACACACAGACATATGGATAGAATTGCAAAGTCCAGTTTTTCCTACTTTTATTACGCATAAAACGCCAACATTTTGATATATCTGGATTCATAATTTTTGCCCGATTTAAATAGGTCCTCTATACTCCGGATGTGATGAAGGACTGAGGTGTGAAACGGTGAAAACTGTCAAAATTTCTAGTTATTTTTGTGCACGCTCACGATACTTTCTCTATACGCACTCTACAAAGATGCAAATAAAAATAAAAAAATAAAAAATAAAATTTTTATAATTGTTCATGCCTGCTGAATTCATTATGATACTAATCATTCATAGTTTGATATTTAGAAAAAATAAATACTTTTTTTACCAGAAGATATTAGAAATAACCCAACAAATTTCAGTAAACCTTCACTTGGTGTTTAACGTTGATACTGCAACAAGCGTACAAACACACAATATTAATTGTTTAAATATATATTCAGTTTTATTAACATTTTATTAAACACACGAATGAGATACAATTAAGTCAAAGGCTATAATTGTAGTTTGGATTTGCCAAAGTAAAATAAACTTTTTCATCTTCTTTATGAGGTGCATTAGTAATTGTTGTCTTATGAACTATACAGTTATAACGACATCTCACATAAAAAAAAAAGCTGAGCAACATATATTTTGTGTAGGATGTTAAGCTTTCTCATATTTTTTATTTAATTTAATTATGTTTAAAAACTATCTCAGGTGCTAGTCATAATACTCCTCACAATAATTATATACTGTTAAAATGGCCCACCCCACATATCAGCAAAATTATCTCATGACTCACCAGAAAATCTTGGGTGAAGGTCACACTACTCACCCCCACATCGTAGAATCTGGTCACATTATTCAACTTCACATTTCATTTGCTGGTCACATGACTAGCCCCTAGGTTACAATTCTAATTACATGACTCACGTTTAGATTCTGATTGTGTTAAATAATTGCACTATTACATTTGCCAGATATTTTTTAACTATTAAATTTAGATTACCGTCTCACACGCTAAAAAACTAACATCTCAAGGACAAGCTATGAGGGTAGAACGTAGATACCCACATTCTTATCTTGATGCACGTGTTGTTTTGCTCGGTTCATGTAAGACGATACCAATGGGAAACGTAATTTTCGCGCGCTGGTGCTGCCAACAATTTTTTACATGCAAAATGATGGCGTTTTTTTTTTAACTAATGTCTTGTGCACGAGGGTTCTAAATTTGTTTTCGATTAATTCTAATTTAGAAAACAATATTAATGTATAGAATATTTGCATATTTTGAAATGTATATTCATCATAATTGTGTTTGTAGCTATGCAAAGACAGCACATCTATAATAATAGTTTCGCTGTCTGTGTATGTATGTATGTATCTATCTGACAAGAACGCTCTAGAGAAAACACGACAAGAACGCTCTATCTGACAAGAACGCTCTAGAGAAAACACAAGCAAAATAAAAACTTGCACAGAGAAACGAAAAACGAAGTATGACGTCGACACATTTAGCATAGAGTTGAAAATAATCTCAAGGCGGAAAGTGCACACAGTAATATAATGACGTCATTGATTATCGCGTAAACATTGAATAAAAAGGAAATGTTGTCTAATCTAAATGGTTTGCGTGAAGAGTTTCTTGCATACAATTCTTCGGGTAGGGGCGAAGCCCCACCCCACGCGTAAGAACGTCTGAGCCCCCCCCCCCCCCTCCCCAACTCAAAAGAAATTTCTTCATCGATACTCTATAATAAATATACCGCCTAATTAATGTGTCTAATCTAAAAAGTGGTTTTCTTGCAATTTCTTTAATGCAATTCTTCGGGTAGTTGCTAAGCGCGACACCAGTGTTTCTTTCAGACTTTTTCCTCCCCGGAGAGGGGTGGGGGTAATTGAAATTTTTGGGGGCGGGGGTAGAATTTTCGGGAAGGGGGGCGGACACTGGAAAAAGTATATAATTATATTTCGTTGAATGGGACGGTAGACATGATTTTTTTGGGAGTGGGGGGTGGGGGTAGGGGGTGGGGTGGGGGTGGGGGTGGTGTGTGTGTGGGGTGGGGGTGGGGTGGGGTGGTTTCCTCATCGATACTCTATAATAAAATTACCGCCTAATTAATGTGTCTAATCTAAAAAGTGGTTTTCTCGCAATTTCTTTAATGCAATTCTTCGCGTAGTGGCTAAACGCGACACCAGTGTTTCTTTCAGACTTTTTCCTCCCCGGAGAGGGGTGGGGGTACTTGAAATTTTCGGGGGCGGGGGTAGAATTTTCTGGGAGGGGGCGGACACTGGAAAAAGTATATAATTATATTTCGTTGAATGGGACGGTAGACATGTTTTTTTGGGGGTGGGGGTGGGGTGGGGGTGGGTGGGGTTGGGGGGTGGTGTGTGGGGTGGGTGGGGTGGGGGTGGGGGCTGGTGTGTGTGGTGGGGTGGGTTGGTTTTAGTTTAGAGAAAAGAGACAGCACTATCAACCTAGCGCCCGGTGTATCCTTCCTCAACGGGCCATTTTTCTCGTATTAAATGTTTTTATTTTATTCGATACATTTTTCTTGGATGTCGTTTAAAGTGTTTTTAGTTTGAACGCGTGTATTCTCTCCAGTTTTATTTAGAGGCAATTGTTTTATCTTTCATATCTTTCATCTTTAGTGAACATATGCAGATAAAATCCTAATATAATGAATCACACAAAGTTGGCAGCATATCGCAAAATATTGTTATAAAACATATTTTATTGAATATAAATAATATGTGGGTGACTTTGTTCGCGCAGTCTAACTTGTTGGTCGATTAACCATCGTGAATACCATTATACATATTGTATAATTCAATGAACCATTTCCATTATAATTTTTTACATCAGTGCAAATATGAGGATTTTGACGTGAAACATACTTTCTATAGTAGAACACCATTGCCTAAATACATTCGAAGATTGTCGCTGTCTGCGTAAAAGGTGAAAATTTGATGGGTAGCGGAGTACAATATTGTAACAATAGAATAACTGGTGCTGCTGTAGAAATATGTTTTTAAAATGTTTTAAATATACAAAGCCTTGTCATAGTTTTGTAAGTTTTTAACATTTCGATTGAACATTGTCACCCTCCACTCTACCCACTGCGACTATTCTAACTGGGGTTACAACAGTTATTTGTACTGATAGGAGGTAAATGGTTAGATAAATGCCAATCTTCTCTTCTTCTTCGTTCTTAATTATTAGTGTTGAAGGGAATCGAGATTTATCTGCCAGTGGGTTTGAACTCGAGACTTTGTTCGAATTTATCAACCATTA